TTCTATTCTATTCTATTCTATGAATAAATTTAATATGGTTCACAACACAAGAAATTATGAATTTTGCAAATGCGGATTTTAGTTTTTTCATCAACAAATGGCGAGATGGATATTCTTCCATCGATAATACAACTCGAACTAAAATGTTGTAAAAAGCAAAGACGCACGAAAATTTTTTATACGGAAAAGAATTAACATCAATTATAAGAAATTCTTAATAATAAGTATGTAAGTAGTATGTGACTGAATTGCAATTAAATTTCTGTTTAGATAGCATTTTGAGCGAATGTTTTAATTTTGAACTTAAGAAAACTCCTTGCTTGAACTTGAACCTGTCCTATATGAGGAAGAATGTGGTGCTACAAATTAAAAGAAAAAGTAATTACCGACCATGGCTGTAACGGGAAAAAAAGGCCCGCGGGTTTTATTTGGGGCATTAGAGTCAGTTAGCCACAAATTAATGTTGCATTCAAGTGAGGAATGACTTACAAAAGTAACTGTTGCGTTTTCACGCCTAAACCAATTTTCATGAATTTTGGTAAAGATAAATGGGACCTAGGAAAAGGACATAGGTTTCTTTTTGTCACAAAAAGGGAGTGAAATAGGGGATGAAAGTTTGTACGGAGAAGCAATAAAATAGTATGCTACTCGAAGTACTCATTTTACGCGCACGAAGTCGCGTGCTCCAGCTAGTAATAAATAAACAACATAAGAAACGTCGTTATTTAAGTCCGTGGTAAATATTGAGGGTATGCGGTATGCATTTAATCACGAGTGAATTTACGAAGAGGTATCAAAATGCACAGGTCTAAACTAACACAAAATATCCACTTCTTTTTTAACCGACTTCAAAAAAGGAGGATTTTCTCAATTCGACTGTATGTTTTTTTTGTATACATATGTGTTACGCGATAACTCCGATATTTGTGAGCCGATTTTCATGATTCTTTTTTTGTTGGAAAGAGGGTCCCTCCATAGTGGTCCCAGTGGCTGATCACGCAAGAAAATTCATTTTTACATATATTTTTACATAGCGCCTAAATTTTACTTAAGGAGCAATTATTTTAATGGTTGGTTTTGCTATTTTTCCAATTCAAGGCGTTTTTCTCTTTCAATATACTTATAGATGTAATTCCACGTACTTTTGATGTCGGTTTTTTTAGTACTCTCTACTGAGATTATTTTCTGTTATTGAAGCTAAAAAGACATTTGCATTGAACGTAAACTATGGGTAATTTGTTTCTTAAATAAACGCCAATGTGTCACATAAAAACCTGTTAATCGGCAATAACATGCGTGTACAGCGTAAATAAGGCTGGGTTTCCCCAAACATGCGCACTGTTTGTATTTTAACAATCATGTGTGTATTTTTAACCGATTTCAATAAAAGGAGTAGCTTCTCGACTGTATTTTTTTGTGTATGTTAGGCTTTTTCTCCGTCATTTGTGAACCGATTTTGTGATGCTTATTTTTTGTTTGTTGGGAAGGTGTCGTTCTATTCAAATTTGAACAGAGTATTCTACCTTTAAGGGTAGCTAATTAGGGAATGAATCAGATTTATTAGATTTCATCCATTTTCCGCTAACCGATTTCAATAAAACTTGGCAAATAGGTGAAATTCCACAAACTTTTGAGTTCGGTTTTTTTAAAACGTTAATTAATTTTTTTATGAATATTGCCATTAACGAAATTCCCCATTTAGTCATTTAAATAATGATGTTATTAATATAATATTATTACAATAATGGACATGAGTGCATACGTACAAACGCGTGTATTGAGACCTTTATTACGGTTTTTATATTACGTTTATATTACCAACACTAATTTTAAACCAATTTTACTAAACCATATTTTATTTTCCTTAAAATTGTCATCAAATTCTTATAAATATCTAAACGACCTAACTAATTTCGAAGAAAACCATACGAAAACATAATAGCTTTCTAAGTTTCTACTTACCTTATAAGTAAGTATCTAAAGTTCAAATTTAAGCTAAGGTATTACATAAAGAACAATCACAAAAGCAAACTTTGGCCCAGTTCTAAATCCGGGTTACCAAATAATGGTTATGTACTAACTGAATGGTTACATACCATACGACATTGCTATAGTAAACACTTTATATAGTAAATGGCCTCAGGACTTACCTTAAGCAGGAAAAATCCAAGGTTTTGCACAAAAATTCACGCTATCACTTTGAAAAATTATGTGTAAACACTTAAACACTCACATTGTGAATACTTATTTGTAAAAATACTAGATCTTAGTATAAATTAAAAATCTAAAATTTAACAGATCGACTCACGCGCGTGGAGTACAAAACGAAACTAAACCATTGAGTGAATTCAAAACGGAACCTCTTTACAATATTAACTTTCTCATTTACAAAATAAAATTCCAAAGACACTGTTTTATAAACCGCATTTTATCGCACGCAAACATAATTTTGTGATATCTCTACATTGAAGAAAAAGATAACACACAATTTCTATAAGAGAGAAAGAGATAAAAGATTGTTCGTGATTTTGACAGCCCCTTCACCCCGCAACCTCACCTTTGTTCAGAGAAAATGGCAGAAGTGATAATCAAATCAAAAATGTAAACTATACCTTTCCTGCTCGCACTTACTCAATATGCATAACTCGTCTCGGTTAAGACATGACTTTTAGGTTAAGTACGAAAGACAACGCTCTTGAACATTAATTATGTTTAGAGTTCCATTGAAACTTTTGTTGCCAAATGCAATTGTTGCACTTGACAAGTAGCAGCCATGTATGACGTAATAAAGTAATTTGTATAATTTTTGCGATCCGATTAGTCTCGAAGACGCAATCACAAGTTGCGGTTCTTAGAATTAATAACCGATGAGTTCTCAAAGGTATTTAACATGTTTAAAATCACAGAATACTTTGTTGTTATGAACCTATGCTCGCAATTAAAAAATATTAGACTGTTCTTCATTTAATAAAATTGTAATTAATTAGGCATATTATAATGTCATCGAGTTTGCACAGTACTCGTATAACTAATATAAAAATATAGATATACCGCAGGGCAGTATTCTAGGGCAGCTCTTGTTTAATAACTCTTTAAACTAAATCCATGCCATAATGCATTAAATGAAAGACGGTCCTTTTCGCTCACGAATACTTTGCGGTAGTTAGTGGAGAGAATGGCGTTGTGTACCGCAGGGTACTATCCTAGTCCTGTTCTTGTTTGTACTCTACGAGCTTTGTACCACCTGTACCCTTTACCCTGTACCCCACATAAGGTGAGGTAGGGCACGGCCTGCGGCGCGTGGTGGGGTTTAGATTGCGGAGTGTGCTTATGCTACAGGATGCACCATACCTGAAGTTCGACCAGCCGAAAGTAATTTCGATGGCATAGCGGTTAGTCTTATACGCGCTTGATGAGGAGGCTCCGGGTTAGATTTTTGATTTGGGCCAGTTTAGGAAACGAACATTTTTAAGTTAGTTCTGATCTGGGTATTACCATACACTATTTTTAACTGCCCCTGTGGCCGAACGGTTACCATGCCGGACTGCCACCCAGAGTTCTCCGGTTCGATTCCCGATTCGGGAGAAATATTTGTATGGCCTACATTTATTTCTCTTGTGAGTTTGAGTGTAATTTGTGGTTGTCTAAGTGTGTCCATGGTACTCGCGACTCAGGGTTTCCCTAGTGCGGGGCTACGTTGAGTGTGTGCGTGTGTGCTTATACACTATGTCACTGTTTATTTTATTTTATTTATTTATTTAAGTCTGGCAACTAAACAAAAAAACGAATGCCTTGCTCAGACCACGTTAAATAAAAAACGAATCAAATGTTGGAGAATAAATATTTTTTAAAGAATCCGAATGACATCTAAATGTACCGCAGGGTATTATTCTAATACTGTTCTTATTCATAATTTTGACGAATGTCTTCCCACAACACGTTAAACGACTAATCCTTTGCGGTAGATCTAGTGGAGGGAATCGCATGGCGTATCCCAGGGTAATATTCTATGTCTGCTCTTGTGTATACTTTATATCACAGGTTCCCAAACTTTTTGGCCGACCACCCACTAAGGCATGATAAAAAAAAATTCAACGCCCACCACTAACCCAAAAAAAATTGGAAACACCTATTTTTCATATTAACTTAACACAAAAAAATCAAGAGGAAAAAGTTTGTGTAGTTTCAATTGATAATTCAGGTTTTTTCAAATGAGGTAGCACATCCTGGACAGGCCCATCAAGGCCCCCAATTGCTGTCGAGGCCCTACCTAGGACTAGGACTTTTCAGCGCCCTCTGGAGGGCAGCAGGGATCACTATGGGAAACTATGCTCTATACTGACGCCTTACTAAACGAAAGACGTGCCTCCTCGCTGACTTTAAGTGTGATTATGTCTGCCGAATGCCTATCAATTGAAGACATCGCGGTGTTCAAACAATTGTGGTTTAACTCAAATGGTGCACAATATTTTTAGAATCGATGACATACAAATTATTTCTTCCCGTGAAAGATCATTACAATTGGTAAGTTTATTACAGACATCTTGTTTCTTACAATATTCTTACGACGCCGCGCCGGTTTCATTGACGTGAAGAAATCTAATTTTAAATTCAGCAATGATATCGCACTGCCATTACACACAACAGTGTTACAACTCAAAATATGTGGAATTCAAGACTATCAGCAATAGAACGTAAAATGTAATTCTCTACACATCATTAAGACCATCATTAGAGTATTGTAAGAAACAATTAAAAGGTGTGTACACTTAACCCAAAATGAGGCAAACTTTCAACAGTCCTTACTCAACAGTATGAAATTATTTATTACTTTTTATTTGAAAATATATTTGTCAAGTAGGAAATTGTTTAGAGGTTTATAGTAAACTTTAACCTATACTCGTACATAGGTAAATTTTAGCAATCTTTCACGGGAAGTACGTAATTCGTTTCGTTTTTTATCGATTCTGAAAAAAATACACTCTTTGAGTATTTACATTATTGTATTAACAGTGCGATATAATCTTGAATTTCACGAATTTGCGATATAATTGTTGCGTGTTCAACTGCCTATGTTCGGTTCGGTTAGCATTCTGGACTGCCACTCAGAGGTCTCGGGTTAAATTCTCAGGCCGGGAGTAATATTTGTATAATTGCCTATGCGCACCTACTGTGTGTGTCTATGGCACCCACGATACAGGGTTTTTCTGGCGCGTAAGGCTAAGAATTCACGGAGCTGTATTCACCGCGACAGCGGGACAACCGTTTTACTTCAATACTCACGACACCACAGGTTTGTACACGCAAACTTGGCGGGAGATGATCTCAAGTCGCGCGGTAATTTGCGATCGACAGAGACCGTCGGCGTCGTGGGCGAACCGACCGAAAAGCGCGCGGGTGACCGCGTCCTGGGCGGATCTACCAGTACCCCGAGGACGCTGTGACTACCACGAGTATACACGTCCTCGCCACGGGCGTAAAATGCGTCGTGAAATGTGCTACTAAATTTTACATACATATAGATACATTCTACGGAGGCCGCGGTCCCGCAACCCATGGCGGGCGCGTGTGAAAATCGCTCCGTGAGTTCTTAGCGTAAAGCGGACACGCGTTTCAACGGCATCACGCGTGACCGGATAATCGCGACAACTTATCTGTAACGTGGACGGTCGATACGCAGATTGTTTACGTTAGTTAAAATTAAAGAGAAATGTGATTGGTATAAATGTTTGACCTTTCTGAATGAGGAAAATATAATATTGAGAGCTTCACCTATGCTCATCAAAACAGTAATTAATATTGGAAAAATCGTCCATGTTGTCTCCGTCTTGGAGCAGAACCACTCCTACTCTTCCCGCGGAAACTGAAGAAATTTAAGATTTTTATCTACGTGAGAATTTTCTAAGAACATCGATACCATAGTGCCGTGGACAGATGTGGCAGTCTATACCTAGTAGGAGTGAGTTAGGCAGGCAGAGAATGTTGTTTACCAGTGATATTTATCCACAGTTGGGGAATCAACGTAAAGCCCCTGTCAAAGTCGCTATCAGTCGCTCAATACAATTCATTTTGCTGTGACCCTTGAAGGCCCTGGGCCTTTCCGTTTACTGTTTATGAATATTATATTAGTAAACATAATTTTAAGGAAATATTAAAGTCGAGTTGTTGAAATATGTACTTTTCCTTGCGGAAAGGCAAAGATCTTTAGACCACGCAGCCTAGTTCAGTTCGTAAATATCGTTGAACGTAGACTTTTTTATATTTTTGATTTTTTTATAATAACCTTACTAATTACTATAATCATATTATATCATAATAATAATGTTACTGTGTAGACAGAACACTCTATTGCTTATTAATCTATGTTTTGTCTTGTTTTAATACGCGTCATTATACTCGTATGCTTGCAAAACGACATAGATAGTGTGAAATTTTGTATACTACTTCGCGATTATCAAATATTATAATGCAAAAATTAATCAAAAGCCACAACATTACTTACCGAATCAATGTCAATACCTAATTATAAATTTTCCAACAAAAAAAGAATCATCAAAATCGGTTCACTAGCCATAAAATAGTCGCGTAACATACACACAAAAAAATACAATCGAATTGAGAACCCCCTCCTTTTGAAGTCGGTTAAAAATGTTACGTACAATCTCATTGTGAAATAGATTATTTTTTGATGTATACCACCAAGTCAAGTGAAATAATTATTTATTCCATAGGTAAAATTTTTACACTTGAAAACGACATTTTTTTAAACTACTACTCGTTCACTACGCTGACCTCCCTGAGAAGAACGAACAAGAAACTCTAGGGATTGCTCTTTTCAAATAAACTTAAATGCTGTTGGAATACATTTTGAATCATAATTGTGTGGAATCTAGAATCTTGTTGTTTTTCCATACATCTTTATCTTAATAATTTTGTAATATGACTTTTCAATTAAAATACTTTTAATGTAAGTTTTAAACTTAGGAAATGGTAAACTTAATATATGCTCCGGAATCTCATTGTAAAAACGTATACATTTCCCCATAAAAGAATCGTTTACCTTATTAAACGAAATCGTGGTACCATGAGTTTCGACTTAGTTCTAAAGTTAATATTACAGACATCTTCTTTCTTAACGAAATTATGTACATTTTTACGGGCATACAAAATATTTGAGTAAATGTACTGTGATGCTACCAGTCTCCTTAAACTTTTCTCTGAGAGAAACCCGAGAGCCTAGACGGTACACAGAATGAATCGCTCGTTTTTGCTATACAAATATGGTTTGTATATCT